ACGGGGCAGCGGCTGCTTGTGTCGCCCGGGAGTTTTCCCCCGCTTTAGTTCGCGTACCTTCAAATTTCTGTCCTTCGACAGCTTTTAAGCTTTCCGTTGGCTCCTTAAATCGCAAACGGGGATAGATTGATGTTTTCAGTGCTGGGCAATTAATTGTTGCAAAAAAGAAAGCGTAGGTTTTTAAATACGAGAGGTGACAGAGAGAGGAAAAAACGACTTTCCAACACAAAGACTCAAAAAAAGTGGTTTGCTGTTGAGGCTGTTACTTATCCATAGTTCTTCTGTAACTTAAAACAGTTTTGCGGCTGGTCTTCTAACTAAATAGAGACTTTGTGATAGTCCACATGAACAAGATCTTCTATCCTATTCCATGTACAAAACTGTGTCTTGGTTGAAGAGTTCCCAGACATTGGAGACTCGGTGTTACTGAAATAATTCTGTGTTCAGTAACTGATTTCTAAGTATTGCGTAGCTTTCAGCCACATCATTTGTTTCCCATCGTAATTGCAGGGTACAATTGTTGGTTGTTGCTCCACAGGCATTTTAATTGATATGTAATCTTAATTTCAAATACATCTGAAATAATAATTCCATAAATTCACCAAAATAGTCTCTTTAATAACCACATTAGTTTTCTTTGTACACTGATTCTAAGAAGCAGCTTACCAGGTTTGTTGAAAGCAGACATATTATTACCTTCTCTCCAGAGGTCTTGATGAAATAGTGATCAAAGAAACAGTTGGGACTTCAACATGGCTTTCCATGTGGAGGGGCTGGTGGCCATAGTTGTATTCTACCTGGCTATCCTGGCAGTTGGGATATGGGCTGCCTGGAAAACCAAGAACACTGGCAGCGAAGGAGATCGCAGCGAAGCTATTATAGTCGGTGGAAGAGACATTGGCTTACTAGTTGGTGGATTTACAATGACAGGTATGTAAAAAAATCACCTTTTTTTTCCTAACCAGTGTATAACTTGTCAGTTTTCCATCTGAATGATGAAGTGTAAACTGCATGTTAAATAATGCAAAATGGAGAAAATACATATCTATTTTCTTTTCCAATTGTTGCTAACATTATTTAATGAACAGCCAAAGGTAGCACTATATAAAAACAACAAATACTTTAAAATTATAAAGGAAGACTATACTATATTTCTTATTCATTGCTCTCATATTCATCTGTAGATCGGATATATTTGGAAATGAAGAACAAAATTTATATACATTAATAAGAAATCCAGTTTTAAAATAACTGTTATTGTTGTTAAAGCCATCCAAATTGGTTAGTTAATCTTGTTTAATCTCAGTAAAACAAGGAATAAGTTTCCAAAATAAATTTAGTACAGACTCAAGCTTGTAATTCCACTGATTTCAGCAAACTTACTTTGCGGATTCTTTTAGCTTCTTTTGCAGCAATTTGGCAAACCCATACATTAGTGTAAATAATAGTATGAGTATGAAAAGCCAGGGTAAAGGAAGAGGTCTTTACTAATTTTGTACACAGTGCTGTCTGCCTCCCAGAACCAATCAAACAAGGTGTCTTACCTGGGTAAATAAGATATTCACAATAGGGTCTGAAATCTCAAATCTTACAGTTAAATATGGGATCGGAACAAAAATGCATTGTAAGAAGAGTGAGCTGGCGCACTATTTTTATTTAAGCAATTTAATTCTTAAGCATATTTGGGTTTTTTGGGGGTGTTCTAAATCCTATTCAGGCAAAGCCTTTTCTATTGCCAAATTGGATTCATCAGGTTACATTTATGTTTTACTGTTTTGCCATGTTCTGGTTTCACAATTATATAATAAGGAGGAGAAATATAACAACTTGGGCCAAAATTCTGTGTTCTTTAATCAAGAGAAATCCCCATCCTCTTGCAGAGGCATTTTGTTCACTCAAAGACCAAATGTTTGGATATCAAGTAAAGAATGTTTGTAAAAGTCAGTAAAGTTTGAATCCAGGCAGATGTTCTACTTTTAGCGCTTTGCTGTAATTTACTGTAACATGTATCCATTGGCTATTGAAGCATCAGATATGATGAGATTCTGCTCATAACAAGAGCTGGTTTGACTGCTTTCTGCTGAATGAAATGTTCTCAAGAGCACTGAAACCAGAATATTTTGCTGAGATATTGCTTGCCACAAAACTGTAATCAGTAGATCGGGGGAGTGAGGCAAAACAAAACATTCCCTGCACAAGTGGTTATGACTAACAGCTTTGACTGTGAAAGACACAAATTCTGGTCTCCTTAATCCTATTTTATAGGAATATTTTTCATAACAACTGTAGTAGAGATGAGACTTGAACTGGGACTTGCTATGTTGCAGGCAGTGTCAGTAACCACCACAATTCACACCCACATACGCTCATCTCATTTCATGCAAGCTCTAGAGATGGCATAGTATATCATCTCTGCAATAGACTGTCAAGCTGATCCTAAAGCCTTTGCACAGCTAAAACACTTGTGGATTTTTTACTGACAGGGTTCACATGCTTTCTCACCTCTGCCTTCCATAAATATAGCAATTAAAGCTTGAGATGGCAAGTAGATTATGTTTTCTGTTCTGGGGAACCATGCCTGGCACGCAAAGTTAGTCATGGGGGCAAGTCTACTGAGTCAAGGGTTAGTCCAAGTTTTGTCTCGGTGAGGGTGATTGGGATACTTAGCTTGTAAAGCCATAACAAAATAATCATGAAAGTAAGCTGATCAAAATCCACACTAGTTTTTACTAAATGGTCACCTTATTCAAGGCCATAAGTGCTTCTTTAAAAATGATAGATGCAGATTTTGCACCTCATAATCATGCCTTCAGAGATATATGGCTCTTCCTACATAGTCTTTATATTTTGCATCTTTAATTGTCTAAATATAAATTAAAAAGCAAAGCCTACTCCATAAAAGGAAAATAATAAATTTTTAAAGATCTCCAGAACGGATATTGTAAGTATGGACATGAAGTACTTCGGGTTATGAGATAAGGCCTAATTCTGTCTTTCTTGCCCAAGATAAACACTACCATGCTCCACGGGTATTGACTACAAAAATGGTAGCAGTTTCTGGGGCTGCTTGGTGAGGAGGGTGGCAGAACTCAAGCTATAAATTTAAAATCAAATTCAGAGCACAAGCATCGTGACTTCATAGGGACAGACTCAAGATTCCTGAGTAATTATAGTTGATTGTATAAACAGCATTTGAAAGCCTTAAAACTAGTGCACTTTGTATGAATAATGGCTACAAACATATTTGGATGTATGCTGTGATCCTGAAGAAGCAGCTGAATCAAGTAGGTACTGAAATGCCTGAACGCAGAGCCTGTTGAAGGCTGAGTGCATCTGCGATTGTCAAAATAGAAAGAGCGAGAAGCTGGAATTGGGGATGGATCACAGCAGCTCATAGTAGAATGAGCTAATATAGTGCCATAGTAGACACGTCTTTAATTTGTGTATCATTTTTACATAGTTATAGTTAAAGTGTTGCATTAATTATTAGTGTTCCTTAATTTGTGTGTGGAGATCTTAAGAAATGGTATCTGCGACAAAGTTGAGTCTATTCTGATTTTGGTGACTGAGTTTAAACCCCAAAGGAAATATTTGAGATTATATGATCCAATGCTTACAAACACAATCAAAAAGGTAATAGTCTATTGATGTAATTTATTCATTTTAGATGGATGTAGCTATATTTCCTTCCACAAGAAGGAAGGAAATATTACAAAATTCTATTTTTTTATTTCTTAAGTCAGGATTTTTATTTTACAGAACTTGACGGGTTAATTCAATAATTTGAGTGGTCAAACAAGGAATCATTCACAAAGAAGTGCCAAAAAAATCTGATTTTCTTATATATACTAAAATATATTAATAACTCTCTGATTAATTTCTGTGTTGCTCATATGAACTAGGAGCAGAATTTCACTCCATATCCTCAGTATTTGTCTGATCATTGTTTAGGGTACATGGTTTAAATGGATGTTGGTATTTGCTGCATTTTTTGGTCCTTCAGACGGCAGGCAAAGAGAGGATTAAAGTAGATTACCACATGAGTGTTTCCATAGATTATTGAATTTTATATTCCTTTTGTCTGATTTAGAAAAACAAAAAGAATTTTCAAAAAAAAAGGTATTAAACTAACTTTAAATTGTGGCTTAGCAAACTGAGGATCAGAAAATTAATATCTAAGGTTGAAATCTCATTCTATCATAACCCATTATTTCTTTTCTGTTGTATTTACTGATGTCAATGTTCATGCTCACTACCCATTCACCTCCTCAGAAAAAGCCACATAGCACCTTCCTAGACTTCTGGGGTCCTTGGCAGATCTTCTAGAACAGTCATATGCACAGAAAAACTGATCGGCAGCTATTTTTCAATCTCCAATCCAGAAATCAAGAAATAAAATTGAAAATAAATGCTAAATCCTCAATGCCAGCATTTACCAGAAATATCCATCAGTAGTGCATAATTCCTGTCCCCAGCTAGGGGAGGGCAATGGCCCCCGCAACTTCGCATGGAAAGAAAGTGACCTGCCCTCCTCCAGAAGAATATAAGGGAGCTATGCATAGCATCCAACCACCCCTTGGAGAACATCCACCACCTCAGTAGCAACCCTAGGCAAATCGATGCCTCATGTTGAAGCCTCCTTGCACCACAGCTGCAGCAATGCTGGGCATCTGTCTTTAGCTATGGGATATTATTCCCCATCAGAAAGTGGATATTGTTCATGCAGAATTCATGCTCATGTTTTTTCCAGGGAATGAGGCAAATGCAATTCCCTTTCTAAATATTTACTTTTGTTATTGTACACAGGTGCTTACAACCTCTTCTGTCTCTGCTTGAGACACAATAGGCAACACACATCCCATGTAGTCATGGACTCAGTAGACAACAGCTCGATGTTCAGGTGGAGATCAATGACGTGTGGTGTCCCTCAGGGGTCCGTACTGGGACCAGTATTATTTAATATCTTTTTAGAGGACATGGATGGTGGGATTGAGTACACTCAACAAGTCTGGGGATGACACCAAGCTGAGTGGTGTGGTTGATACTCTAGAGGAAAGGCATGCCATTCAGAGGGACCTTGACGTGCCTGAGAGGTGGACCTGTATGAGCCTCGTGAAGTTCAACAAGGCCAAGTGTAAGGTCCTGCACCCAGGTCAGAGCAGTCCCAAATACAGATAGAGGCTGAGCAATAAGTGGATTGAGAGCAGTCCTAAGGAGAAGGACTTGGGGATATTGGTGATGAGAAATGTATGATGGTGGACACTGGGAAAATTCTGAAGAATGCTTAATGCTTAATGAAAATAGATTTCTTACAATTGTGAATTTTTACACAGAAAGCCTGAACTCCTCTTACATCAGAAGGCAAAGGCTTCTGTGGCAAATCAAAATAGCATGCAAAAATCTAATACTTCTAATGATAAGCCTGCCCACATTCAAACTACAGGGCCAGATTCATAAAACTTACTCATTATACATTAGAGAAAATCAAGAACTCTTTGCATGGAATCTGCAAACAAGAAAGACATAAACTTTGTTATGTAGTTGGTTATGAATTCTTCTTGCAGATGTAATCACAATACATTTGTGTGTTGGAGACTTTCTTTCATGCATACTCTAGGTCCCAAATTATCAAATGTAGAAACTTCTCTTCAAGGCAGAGAATCAATTCATTAAGGGTCTGAGGTTGTTATATTAAAAATACTGCTGGTTTTTAGAGAGATAAAATCAGAAATATTACAGATAGCGCAATTCACTGCTGGAATATGTCTTCAGGAAACACAAAAAAGAAAAAAGTCTAAGTTTAGAACTTAAATATCAACACAAAGCCATCACAGGCTTATGTGGAAACATAGCATTTACAGAAGTCAGAGTTTACTATATGTGCTTCATGTAGCCTCAATTTAAATTTTACCAAGGTTTTAAATGCAATTTTTTTTCATTAAGGCCCTAGTAAGCAATACATTCACTAAACTCATGTCTAAATTAAATGTTTTGAGTTTTCCCAACTGGCATGATGTTATCACTACAAGTTTATTGTTCTTCTTCAGATCCTCCCTTACATCTCTCCTTCTTTTGGACTAGCGCAAAGAAAATGGTAATGGTTAATGAGTTGATGTGCATCATTCATTATAAACAAGTAGTGAGGGACTCAGCCATCACATCTTCACTGACTATACAGATGCTTAGAAGCCTTCATAATTGTCTTAGAACACATTACTTCTTATTTCGTATGCTTAGGTTGTAAGTTCTTCAAATTAAGACTATCTTTTCTAGAAGGATGCCTTGTCTAGCACTTGTGCAGTACATATAATAAAAAATAGCAGTATTACAAGTGATGGCAATTTCATTTTGCAACATGGGAAGTTTTCTTATTGCACATTAAAGCTTTTTCCACCTCTTCTTTTTCAGCCACATGGGTTGGAGGAGGTTACATCAACGGGACAGCAGAAGCTGTGTATGTCCCAGGCTATGGTCTAGCTTGGGCTCAGGCGCCAATCGGATATTCCCTTAGTCTGGTTTTAGGTAAGCAAAGAACTAAAGATAATAGTCTCTCATTTTAAACACTTCTGATGACAAGTCTATCGTTTGAAATGGAACAACTAGGGTCTTATAAAAGGATATTGAGGTAAACTGGATCCCTTCTGCTGATAAGTTTGGCTATTAAAAACAGAAAATCGCTATAAATAGTTTGATGTTTTAACTCTCTTGAATGCCTTGGCAAGACCTATTTGATTATTACAACCATAGTGATCTATGGAGTTCACAATAAGAAAGGACTTGTTGTGGGATGGTTTTTTAAATTATGTATACTAAGTTTTATATATTCAGGTTTTCTTTAAGTGTCTAAGTGATTTGGAAAATGACAGTATCAGGGCACCTAAAAATCTTGAAGTTAAGAGTGGCAGATATCCTTTCAGGTTAGGGAAGCGATTATACCTTACAGATCTTCACCAAGAGTATAAGTAACTTGTCTATTTTTGTGTAGGAAGGCTGTAGCAGAACCAGTTTATTTCCTTAAAATTGGATCTTAAAATTTCCTTAAAACTTCCTTAAATTCAGTACAAAACTCCAAGTCACATGCAAATACACAATCCTGCTATATGCAGGGGTCAGAGTGTAAAATACAGACAACATTATACTTTTTAATGTTGTGGCCTCTAATTCCTGAAATGTAGTCTCAGAGCTTTCTTACTTTTCTTAAAAATTATAGCAATAAAATATTTCTCACCATGTCTCAACCACATGGAGCAGCTCACAACAAAAGTATTGTCTTGTGAGCCGTTATAAATACACCACAAAGTCGTCAACTACATCCTCTCAGTTTGTGAACAGATCGTGTCCCTAAGGCAAAAAAAATATACTGTGTTTTTTGTCTTTCATTAATGTGACTGGTGTATTAGCCTTTCTAACAATTCTTGGCGTCACAGTCTATTTTGAGTCTTTTCTCACGGTCCACCCACCTAGTCTGTCCCTTTGTTTTCTTTGGTTGCTGATCCAGGTCCTCTTGTCGCTTCTGTTTCTTCCTGTACAACTTGTTTTCCCTTCTGACTCTTTTCCCCTTGGAAATGCTTTCCTATGGCCTGTCCAGGTTCTCCTCTTTTCCCAGGAAGAAACCTTCCCCATCATAGATGTTCCTCTCTGGAAGGTGTGGGCCAGCTCCAGTTCCAGTAGTAGTTCCCATCTCTTAGAGCAGGTCGATTTCCTGTAAGGAAAACAGCAATGGTAGATGTCTACCTGGAGAAGAGTTGATGTCATGACAAGGTCATAAGCGTCATGACCCATCAATGATGTCATTAAGTGGTCGTTAGGATCGTAGTCACAAGCATCTTCCTGACCCTTAGCCTCTGTAGAATTGACACAAATTAATAATAGGCCAGAAGGTGTTGAGTCAACCTCTCCCCTCATTACCAGCTGTTTTTAGATATCCAGACTTTTTTTCCTGGAAATTATAATGGCCAGAGCAGAGAAAAGAAATCTGTATCACGTGACCATATATCTCCCTGCAGAGCACAGAGAGGAAAGCGTTTCTGTAGATGTGATCTGTACATGCAGGTTTGGGGCAAGGAGCTGTTTATCACTTTTTTTTTAAAAAGAGAAAAAATTATAAATACAAGTCTAGAATAAATATTATTGCTTCAGGCTGGAAGGATTTAAGATTGGTATAATCTCCCTGTTAGTTCAATGTTGTGCTGCATACCACTTTTTCGGATTTTTCAAGTAATTTAATTTTAAAGGTTAGGATATCCCCGATTTCCTTTGACAGATGTTTGAGCATCCTAACTGATTTCAATACCAGTGCCTTTTTTTTTTCTTCTTTTAGTTGTCTTTTATAACGCTGACATAAAAAGTAGAATAGGAACAGGATCCACGACCAATCCAAAAATAGTTAAAAAAGGCACTGGAGGGTTTCTGCATCCAAACAACCTGCCTAAAGACAGAGTTAACATAAGCAGTACAAATATATTGTGATTTGTAAACCAGTACCTTCTGTTCAGGGAACTTAATGAAATTAAGAAATATGGGTGATACAAGGCAATACATAGAAATGTAGAAAATCTTCTATAAAAGACGATGAATGCATTACATATCTTGTGATGAAGAACCTAACTGTCACCAAATACTGCACAGTAGATGGTTTTTCCTTTTTTAAAAAAATTATAACTTATACATTTAATTTCAGCAGTTTTACTGTGGTAGAGGTCTACTTAGTTATAGTCACATATAGGTCTCAACTACACAGGTTTCCACAGAAGGGCTGTTTCAGCTTTCCTGAGATGTATCCTTTGTTCCCTCAGCCAGAAAGAATTTGAGAACTTTGAGTATTAGAGAGTTGAGACCTTTTCACATTTATGTACATACCCAGCCCCATATGCCAGACAGGCAGAGCAGAGTAGTGATACATCAAAATTCCTGAACATGTATAAGTGAAATAAGTGTATGACAAATATTCAGGGAGCCTGACACCTCCAGAGCCGTGAAGGCATCTGACCTACCCCACAGGTGTAATGTGGTTGATTTAAGCATACATAATAAATCTAAATCGTCCTGAAAGAATCAGATTTGCTGTGTGTGCACTAAACCATGTGTGAACTCGTGTTTCTGATCCAGTAATCCCAGACAGTTTTTGTTTTAGAATAGGACCACATGAAAATTCATGCTGGATTCTGCTCTAAGAATGAACAAGATTAGATAGAAAAGCCATTCCCTTAGGCTGATCCAAAATTAAACAAAACTCTGACAGCCTCCATAATGGCAGATTACATAAACTGAGCCAGACAAAACAAGACAAACTTTTTTTTCATTGTAAGACCGTATTAATGATGTGGATGTGTGGATGTAATTGTGTAGACAGATGTAAAGTAAGAGATCTTAAGAGGATATTTTAACTGTAGCTATTTCTTTTAAAATAAACAGTAATACTGATATTTTTCTACACTTATGTGGCAATCAATATTTTACCTCTTAATGGCAATGCATTTCTCCACTGCAGCTGATGTCTTATGCTACTTTCTTTGTAGGTGGCCTCTTTTTTGCAAAACCCATGCGATCCAAAGGCTATGTGACAATGCTAGACCCTTTTCAGCAGCTTTATGGAAAAAGAATGGGAGGATTACTGTTTATTCCAGCTTTAATGGGAGAAATGTTTTGGGCTGCTGCTATCTTCTCTGCCTTAGGTAAGGAATAAGTGGTATAAATATTAATTTATCACAGGTGTAAAGGATGAAGAAAATCAGAAATGCATTAAAATTCTGGCTTCAAATGCTAACTATCCTAGCCAAATGATTCAGAGTGTGACAGTTCTCAGACTCATGCTAACTAGTAATTAAGTCATGGTACCCCATTAATTGTTTTGGTAATGGAAAGACTCATGAGGTATCTGTTCATTTCCAGGTACCCTTATGTTGTCCCTTTTCAAAGAGTGTGAAAAGATTTAGGAACAAATTTCATTTAACTGTAAGGGTTACACAAGTCCCTTCTATGTCAAGGCTGTCCCAGCGTCTCTTTTACTCCACTGAGTCCACAGAAGCCAGTCAAAATTTCCCTTAAAAATATGAAAGATTATTGCCAATGCACCTAAACAAAACAGTCCTTTGCATATAGGAGACCTACATGTACAGAACTTTCCACAGCACAAATATTAGTAATAAAACAGATGCTGATCAATAAATGGAACTGTTATTCAATTCTAAATGGCTTTCTACTTGACAAAAGAAGAAAATACTTTGAATTCAAGAAAGGATTCAGAGAATTAGTGGAACGATGACTCAATAGAAAATCACCCAACTACCCATCCAGTCCTGAAAAAAATATCAGTTTCCAGGGTTTTTAATTATATTTCAGGCCTGAATTTAGCAATACCTTCAAGAACTGAAAAAGCCCTTGAGTTGAAGCACCAGTAGCTGACTTTTACCAGCTAATCATACTCATAGTGCACATGCATGTGGTAATGCTTTCTGGCACAAGCTATTTTAAACAGAAAATAAACTTTGAAGGTACTCTCCAGCTGTGCTCTGATGAACTGCAAAGCAATGGGGAGCTTGTTTACCACAATTTCATCACAAAACCCTTAAAAGACTAAGAACAAACCATGCTGAGGTGATAGGAGTTGAATAACTTGAAGAACACTCTGAGTATTTGGAATATACTTTCTTTCTGATTGAGGACAAACTAATCTGTGGTATTTCAAAGCAAGTGGTGTGAATACCTTTCTAGTAGGTCTATATTAACAGCTGACAGTTAAAGACTGTCAATGGTTATAAAGGTCATTGAAGGTTTTGATTTTAAGTGTTCTGTGAATAATCTGGTTATATTATACCTCCTAATTTGCATACTCTTCCTCACTGATGAATATTTAATCCCAGTACTCTTCACTTCTTGATCTTCCTAATGATTTCTTGTTTGGCAGGGTTATAGAAGGGAAAGACAGGGCTCCCAGCTTGCGAAAATGGTCTGAGCTTGTAATCCTTAAGCCTGTGAACTTTGAAGGCTCGCTGTACAGCAAAAAGCCACCTGGCAGCTCCAGCAGCTTTTATCTACCACAAATTATGTTGTGTTCTACTACCAGAACATTTCCACCTATGTGGTCATGAATATCCTTCTACTACACCTGCAAGTCCTAAAAGTTATTGCAACTTGTTTAATTTAAATTATCCTAATTAGAAGGAGAGGATTTTTTTAAAACATGTTTTTAAAACACTGCAGTCACTTGAAATAGCTAATACATCTAAGGGAAATGTGTAACCATCCTGATAGCTGCTGGAAGGGTAGTGAAGGAGGACACCAGTGATTCAGGTTTCTTGAATGCATTAACAACTTCCTGAAACAGATGATTAGGAAGCTGATGAAGGGAGGTGCTTTATTGCACTTGTTACTTGCAATCAAGGAAGACATGGCTAGGGATGTGAAGGTTGGAGGCATACCTGGGTGCAGTGTTCATGTGATGGTGGAGTTCATGGTCCTGAAAGGAGGGAACAAGGCAAAAATCAGGACCACAACAGTGGACTTAAGGAGAGCAGAGTTTGGCCTCTACAGGAATCTGCTTGGAGGAGTCCCATGGGAGACAGCCCTGAAAAGAAGAAAAGTCCAGGAGAGCTGGTTGATACTCTGGGATCACCTCCTCCAACCTCAAGAACGGTCCATCCTCACAAGCAGGAAAACAAGCAAAGCTGGCAGGAGACCTGCGTAGATGAAAAAGGAGCTCCTGACTAGGATCAGATATAACAAGGAAGCATTCAAGTGATGGAAGCAGGGACAGGTGACTTGTAAGGAATACAGAGACACTGTCCAAGAATGCAGAGATGGGTTTAGGAAAGCCAAAGTCCACCTGGATTTTAATCTTGCCATGAAGAGCAGCAAGAAAGGCTTCTTCGAGTACATAAACTAGAGAAAATGCGTATTACTGTTGAATGGGACAGGGGACCTGCTGGCAAAGGATACAGAAAAGTCTGTGGTGCTCGGTGCCTTCTCTGCTTCATTCTTTGCTGATAAGACCAGCATTCAGGAATTGAAGAACCCTGAGAACCCTAGAAAAGTCCAGGGCAAGGAAGGCTTGCTAGAGGAGGATCAGGTTAGGAAACATTTAAATAGACTGGACAGACACAATTTCACGGGACCTCATGTGATGCATCCCATGAGTGCTGTGGGAGCTGATAGCATTGCAAGGACACTCTCAGGAATCTTACAATAGACACTGGTGATCATGGATGTTTCTGGAGACTGGAAGAAAACAAATGTCATTCCTATCTTCAAGAAGGGCAAGAAGGAGGATACAAGGAACTAAAGGCAAGTCTAGAGAACTAGGACTGTTCAGCCTGGAGAAAAGAAGGCTCAGAGGTTTCTTATCCATGTGCATAAATAACTGATTTGGAAATGAAGGGAGCGGAATAAAAAAGTCTGAGCCAAAGCTCATCTTTGTGCTTCTCAGTGACAGGACAAGAGGCAATGGGCACAAGCAGAACTATGGAAAATTCCTTTTAAAATAAATAATTTTTTTTATTTTTTTTTTTTACAGTGGGAGAGTTTAAACACTGGCACAGGTTGCCCAGAGAACTTGCAGTCTCCACCCTTGCAGATATTCAAGACCCAACTGAACGTGATTCTGAGCAACTTGCTCCAACTGACACTGCTTGAGTAGGGTCTTGGACTAGACAATCTCTAGAGGTGCCTTTTAGGCTTTGATTCTATGAGCTGTTTTGTGGAGGTTGACTGGTCAGCTCAACTCTGTGGTTTGTCTTCCACAAATAAAATCTGCTTGACAGTGCTTGGAAGAGTTCTTGGTTTTTTAGGTGGATGATGGAGCATGGTTCAGTTTGCAAAGAAAACCACCTTTGTCCCTTAAAAACAATTCAAGGGCACTTTAGAAGGGTCAGTGGACAATTGTTTCTATAGCTGATGTCTACCATTCATTCCTTGGTTGGAAAGGGCTAGCTCAGAGCATAACTGCGATACAGTCTCTACTGCAATGATACATGTGGTCCCATGCAGCTGCAGCTCACCCAGGGAGGCTTCAGCTGTCTGAGCGTGACTGCGTTTTCCCAGACACAAGAAGAGTGTAGTCCTTCTAGCACATGAGCTGCATAAGAAAAGGCTTCTGGGACCATTCCCTCCTCCATTTCTTAAGAACATGCAAAATGACAGATGCTAAACTTAGATCAATGGAAGCCTTATTTTCCCACTCCCTTCAAAGGTTCCAAAGGGGTGTGCAGAAGATAGAGTGGGAAGTATCTTCATGATGTTGCTAAACATCAGACTAGCAGCTGTACATACATCTTAACAGAGGTGAGCCTTCTTATCAGACATACTGCAATGTACATTAACACAGTGTTTTGGTTTTTTCCCATAGGTGCCACTATAAGTGTGATAGTTGACATTAATGTCAATATTTCAGTCATTATTTCTGCCCTGATTGCAACTATGTACACACTTGTGGGTGGTCTTTATTCTGTGGCCTACACTGATGTAGTTCAGCTCTTCTGCATCTTCTTGGGACTGGTAAGTTTGGCTTTTTACCCTTCTTTGTTGAAAATTTTGCCCTGAGCATTATGATGATTGCTGAGATCTATTGCCCAGCTTCGGTTTTGGAACTGTGTCTTCACTGAAAGCATGAGGAGTACCTCCACTCAGAGAACACTAACTTTAAAGAGTCTGCATTTACATCAACGTATAGCCCATGCTTTTGCAATAGTACTGACTGATAGGCCCAATTCTTTGGCTTTTTTTCCAACCACTTTGATAGTGCAAACACTCTTGTAATTTTCTTGCTGAGCAAATATCTAACTCAGGATAGGACTGGAGCTGACTCTGTCCCTATCTGTCCATAGTACTGTGACACAGGCAGGATGGAAGGAGGCATCAAACGCAGGAGACAGTCAGTAGAGCAGTCCAGAAACACTGGTATTGGACCTACAGCACTGTTACTGTCCTGCTTCTCTTTTCTGTAACTGCCACCTACTCATGCAGCTTAGTTAACCTGAGGTCAAATGAAGTTTTTCTCTCATTTCCCTCCACTGTCCTTGGAGACCATAGTATAGGAAATCTCATCAGATGACCTTGCTGTTTGAATATGGCGGTATGAATATCTCCTCAACAGCTACCAGTGGTATACTAGCGGGTAGCCTTTTCTTTTATTTACTGCTGTTCTTCAAGCCCTACTCTGAAAAAAAAATCAGTGCATTAGAACTCAGATCACAGGGGTGCAATCAAAGAAGCTGCTGTCTTTTTTTTTGCCAGTGGAAGTAATAGATGGCCACAGGTGTGCAGAGACCTGACACAGGCTGAAATAAATGGGGTGGCTCAAAGTGAAGGAACTGAATGGCACCTTGGGGACCCAGAGTTGTTTCTCTACTTTCACCAGAGTTCTCGTGCAGCTCTAGGGAAATTGCTTCAGCAAGAGCTCACAGAGGTGGTCATTAACCAACCCTGTGTGTGTCCTCACTCTGTGGCATCCTACTGTGAGGCCTATGGCCTTATTTTAAGAAGTGCTAAGCATTCCCTGTTGTAACTGACTTCATGGGAATGGTACTTAAATATACTGAAAAATCAAATCTAAGTTCCAGCTGGCCACCTGAAATGAGAAGCTATTTTAGGTCTTCTTCTTTCATACCTTTGTTGTTTACCTGAACAGTGGGGAAAATACTGTCTCCTTCCCTAGTATGCATGTTAATAGTTGTGAACCATTCAGTTTCTACAGATGGTGTGCATTACAGAAATTCCCAAAAATTGTAGATAAATCAAAATACAGAAATGCTTTTCCAATGAGAACAACTCATGCACTGTTAAAGATGCTGTTCCCACTGGAATAACAACATGTGATCCTGCAAATTAAGGTTGTATAGCAGTCTTCTAAATGTTGGATCTGTAACTTTGATAGTGTTCTTTTAATTCAGGTTGAGCTTTTTATGTAATTTCCCATTTAAAATAAACAGCAATAATGTCATATAAAAGAAACCATATTCATAACCTCAAGAGTCATCAGTGGGGCTGGAAGTCTCAGATACCATCTAAATGGCCATGATCTAGCTGAAGCAGTTTTAGATGAGATGGGACACTTTCATAGTAGGTGTCACAGCAGAAGATGTCAGAGGCTCAGGTATTCCAGCTTCCCCTCCAGGCACTGGAGCAGTTTGTATTCCCATTGGTGCAGAGCTTTTATGCTCATTTCTCTACTGTCTATTCCTCTCCTGGTCCTTATCCAAGAGGAGATGTTTGTTCTAATTGATTCTCTTCCCTACGCGGGCACCTCAGTTCAGCCACAGCTTCTTCCTTAGGCTTCCATAACCTTTACACCAGCCACTCCATGTACTTCCCTGGTTTTCTCCTTACAATCCCACAGAGTCCCTTTCCTTCCCTCCTCGCTCTCCTGTACCTACATCTGCAATTCTCAGCTCTTTGTCTTTGTCTTGCCCAATGAGTCTTTCCCTGAACCTGCACTGTATCCTCACTATTTACTGATTTTTCATCTCAGCCATATTAGTAATTTCCCATTGTAAACCCTGCCATCATGTAGAAGTCCTTTTTTTTCTTTTGTTTCCAATCCCACGAGGTCCAGGTCTTTCTAGCTACCCGCTACTTCTAACTCTGACCTACAAATCCCAACATAAAGTCCCAGTTTCTGCTTCATTTCCATAAGCCGTGGTTTTATTTGCCTTCCATTCAGAACAGGGAATTTTCTACACCCGTTAGAAAAGGCTCAATGAAGAAACTGGGTTTATGTCTATATTAAGCAAGTTAAACAGTGTCAAGGTGAAAACACAGAATCATCTGTAGTGCTTAATTCTTAACATGGTCCTGGCACTGTTTGGGCAGATGTTGACTAGTATTTTCCCAGATAATTCCCAGTTGAGGGCTGTAGGTTTTGGCAGGGAAAGGAGTTTAGATGTGTGGATGTAATCCATGACATGTGAGTGATCTGCAGGGCCAGAGAAAGTGTCTTAACTTGTTTTATTTACTAATGTAGAGGTAGTCTTTGAGACCACAAAGAGGTAGGTTACTGTCAGGACCTGGAATGGATTACAAAAGCTCCTAATGCATGTGCAATACAGTCCCTATTAGATCCTGGGCTGTGGCATGCAGGCTGCAGGTAGACCAATAGAAATTTACCCTATGGAAAATCTCAGCTGAATATGGACAAACTACAGCTCTTCAGAAGCTGATCACTTGGACATGTTTGAGATTTGAGATTCACAGATGAGAATAAAAAAATCCGTTTGACATCCTTGTTCCCCATGGCTTTCTCAACACGAAGAATATTCTCAAAATATCTTGGAGACAGTTGAAACATTTTGGGGATCTTTCCCAGAAAAACTCAAGCAGACACTGAGAGGGGAATTTTTCTGCCCAAATGCTTAAGCTGGCAAAGTTTAATGTGTAACTGAGAATAGAACATTACAGTGCATGATAAACAGCCAGAATGACAAGCAGTGCTGCAAAATATTCTTCATACATTATTGCAATAATTGTGCAACAGAGTAGAGGAAGATGTTTGATTTCTCCCCTCCTTGCTCCTGTTACCCCATACACTTCAGTGTGATCAGTTGGATTTTGTTTATCTATGTGGTTTTGGATATCAGATCCTTAAGAATGCCATGCTTGTGATGCTCTGTTCCATATAGCACAAAGCCTGGTTTTCATCTCAGTAGGAACTGCTGAGGTTCTCATCATAGAAAGTTAGATACTCCATTCCAAAATGAGTTGGCAAGTAAGTGCCCAGAAAGTCAATTAGTGAAGGAAACAAACCTTCTGTCAGAAACTGTCTCTGGGAAGGGTTTCTCCACTGAATTTTTTTGTCCTAGATCAGAATCAGAGTCTGAAAATAGTCAAGAGCCCAGACTGAAATCACACTCAAGGCAGAAAAATGCTGTAACACTGGGGTACTGGTTATTCTGTAGCAAGAGAGATGTGGATCCACCAACAGCACCTCCTTCCTTTCACGATATAGTTTTATGTTGAGTTAAAAACAAATTCCCAAGCCTTCAAGTGTATTTGAGATGTCTCATGCCTGTATACTAGCAAATCCTGATGCAATTGCATGCAAGTTTATATGTAGATGTTTCTCTACGGTGTGGTCCAGGAAAGGGTGTAAAGAATATCTGTGGAGTTTAGAGAAAATAAAATGAAAATGTAAATCCTGCTGATTTTGCGATTTACACTTAATAATTCTTTGCTCATACTCACTCTCTCCAGGACAGAGGTAAGTTGGATTTCAGAGATGTTCCACTAGCACATAACCTGACTTTTCTGCAAGTCAGCTCAGCAATTTGGCATTTGATCTGTAGCATGCAAGAAGAAGAAAAACAGATCAATGTTTATATTAAAATTTCACATATTTAGAATGCTTTCTTTAGAACAGAACAAAGTGTTTCTCTTTGGTTACAGTGGATCAGCGTACCCTTTGCAATGTCCCATCCTGCAGTGACGGACATTGGGCTCACAGCTGTGCAGCAGGTGCACCAGGCACCTTGGCTTGGATCTATCAACTCACTTGACATTTACACATGGCTGGACAATTTCCTTTTACTGGTAAGTGATGGCTTATGTGAAGGAATGAAGCATTTAAGCACTCAGACTGTGTTACTGTGACAGCTAAAAATAATAGAGTCTAGTTAAGAGTTTCCAGCAAACTGAAAACTTTTACCCTCTTGACTCCTGCTCAATATTTCTGCACATTTGAATTATTTCAGTGAAATATCAGTAGAATATTGTAGCACAGCTGTCAAAGTCAGCATTGCCAGGAATGCAATTTAAATATTGTCAGGCTGAAAGATATGACATGCTAAAATTAATTGAAAGTGTGCAGCTAATACTTAGCTGATGTCATTGTTGGCAGAGGAATTTATATATTGCAGAAGGCAAGAAATATGTTACACAAATGATTAAATATGCCTTAGGTATAGGTGATGTAGAAAAAGCTTTGCAGAGATGGATGGATGGATGAATTCATACGTGCACACATGCCAGAATGAACTGAGGGCTTCCGTTATTTAATACTCATGTATTACACATGGGATTGGTGGTTATTAAGTACTTTCCATTAGAAGATCTAGCAACACATACTAACATTTTCCATTCTCAGTGTCCCTGAGCAACTCTGCACTGTTTTTATTATCATGTTGTAGTTTGGGATTCCTTTCTCTGTGGTTTTTTTTAAAATAATCTCCACCAAAAATCCTCAACATTTTCTGATAATTAGGATATTAAAATATATTGTTTTATCCAGCTTAATTTTCTTAGAGATTCTCAGAAAGCCAAAGTATGACATTAGCTCAAGTGGCTGTATTCTGTGTGGTAAGCCTGAAGGTTTCATCTCTGCTGATGACCAAAGGAAAGCTCCAAAGGATGACCAAAGGATGCTGCCAAATTGTGACACAAAATTCACACATTTTTTTTCATCTTGTTTTTTCCATTATAGCTCAAGAAATTTACACATGCTTGGAAAGCTTTCTAAAAGGAGCATTATTAAGGCCGCACAGTCATAAATAGGAAGTTGAAATCAGAGTTGCCTGTGAAACATTCATTTGGTCCCTATGTGTGTATGAAACATGTATGAAACACCTGTATATACACTATTTGGTCCAAATGCCTCCTGCCTCATTTAGTCTGTAGAACTGGACTGTGCACGTTTAGTGAGCAATTTGCTTCATTTTCTTTCCATGCTATGTAGTCCTAGGCACTTATTTACTCAGTGGAGACTATTCAAATCCTGCTCTTAAGACAGAATCGTTAGAACTTGTTTTTTCAACCTTTGATAATACTCTTTTGTATGATATTTTTCAGACATAATTTCAAGTCTAATCAGGATCTTCACTGTTTTATACCCAAAATAAGAGAAGGGTTGTCAGCATAAAAGGAAACTTTCTTCATACTGCTTTGTCTTTAATTTCTATTGATAACATTTAATTAAGACAGTGGGAGAATGATTTTTGCGATCCTTGTGTTCAATGTTTACAGAACATTGTACAGAATGTACAGAACATTTTAATGACTACATGCATTTCATAAAGGAAGATAAAATCTTGCTTTCAAATCCTATCAGAGACTAATCTAATTTTGGCAGAGGGAGAGTAGTGGAGGCCAAATGCTCCAAATATGAACTATTACAATAGTATTTTATAACCTTTTGTAAGGTTTTATCAAATATTTATGCAGCTCACAATACTTAGCGATTATAGGGTATATGTAAGTACAAAGTGTTGTTGCTAATTGTACTAAGGATTAACTTGTCTAAAAGAATGGATTTAAGGAGACACATAAAGATTTAACATTAATTGTGAGAATGATAGTTACAGCTATTACTGACTGACTGATATTCAATAAATAAATGAAAGAGTAGCGACATGGCATTGAGCATTCAAGTGATGCTTCCACATGCTCTCTATATGGTGATAGCAAAAAAATCCAGTTAGTCCCCAGTGACAGGATACTGCCCGTTGTGTTTGCAGACATTAGGAGGGATACCATGGCAAGCGTATTTCCAGCGAGTTCTTTCCTCATCTTCTGCCACATATGCTCAAGTTCTGTCATTTCTGGCTGCTTTTGGCTGTCTCGTGATGGCTCTTCCCGCCATACTCATTGGTGCAGTTGGAGCATCTACAGGTAAATGACTAAATATGAATACTGCAATGAATGTAAAATGAGTTGTACAATAAATGTGTGAAAACCCTACAAAGTTTATGTTAGATAAAATCTAGTCAAGTGACATAGTTAATCAACTCCTGACTTCTTCAACGGGAGATTCCACTGAAAAATAGTATTATAGAATGTTTCTCCCAGGGGAAGTTGCTTCTACCCCAGTGACTGAGATTAACTTATTTTGCACATTCTAAGTATCTACAGTTGTAATATTTTTATTTAATCATTTAGTTAAATTCTGATAGTTTTATTTGGTCTTAACCATAATAACTGCAAAATAGTGGTGCACATTTTGTAGTTGTTAATTAGGAATTTCTTAACTTGACCAAAACATCCTTGTCAAGTTCTTTGTCATAGTAAGGGTGATCTCCATCACAGTGACCATGTAGCTAAACTGTTAGGAATGTTCTATTAGAAATGTTTAACACATGGCTTTAAGTTCTGAGTATATCCAAAAGAATAGTTAGCACATCACAAACAAACATGGATCCCAGACTTGTTTTATTGAAGAAAATTACATTTATGAGCAATTTAAAGTTTTAATACTAAATATAGAACTAGCTAACCACAGAATGTGGTCAGACTTAGCTGAGAGATAAGGAAAAGTGCTGAGCAGGATTAAATCTGCCTATCAGGAACCAGTGGGACAATGTCTCTCTGAAATTCCATCAGTCTGGCCTCAGCAACAGTTTGGTCATTGAATGTGAATGAAAATGTGGCAATGTGGATAGCTTACAACACATGAAGTCAAAAGATGTGGTAGCTGAAGATGTGGTAGTTAATGTTACTAATAACACAGCAATGTCCGTATTGCAGCCTGGAACGAGACTGAGTATGGTGTCCCTGACCCCATGACTAAAAAAGAAGCGGATATGATTTTACCAATCGTGCTCCAGTACCTTTGCCCAGTCTATATCTCATTCTTTGGCCTTGGTGCTGTATCTGCAGCCGTGATGTCGTCAGCCGACTCTTCAATATTATCAGCAAGTTCTATGTTTGCTCGGAACATTTACCAGCTTTCCTTTCGGCAAAATGTGAGAATACATTTTCATTTTTACTTTTAGAGAAAATTTTAGGTGAGACCTTAACTAAGTGATGCACAGACTGTAATTTCATAATGAAACACCTCTATCACATTCCTGCCTGTGACTAGAAAAAGTATAATATTTTGTTCATAACAGTATGTTGAAAACACTGAAAGTCATATAAATATTTCTGGTTGTGACTGACAACAGAGGTGAAAAAGCCAGCTCAGGGGAGGCAGCATTCAAGACTTCTCATGGCACTCCAGTTTATCCAAACAGTTCCTAATTACTGCTGCAACAAGAAGTTTTACTTAAATACTTAACAAAATGAGACATTTTTTTGAATTACCGATTTATCAGAAAATCATTTGACAACAGAATGGGCTAGTTAGTAGGAGTTTTTCTTAGGAAATGGCAAAGAAGAAAATATGACACTGACAATTTTTTCTGGTTGGGCCATAATTTACTTATATTTAAAAATTATTTTTAACACTCTGCCATTGTTTCTTTCTTGGGCACATTATCAAACTTTTCCTTATGCTCAAAGATTAATGACTTTGGGAATGGCAATAGCCCTTGGGATTTTTTTCTCTGCACTTGAGATAGAAATAGAGATATTAGTTTGTAAGTATTATTTAATATGTCATGCAAAATTCCCTTTTACAATGTAGTATCTTATATAGGCTACCTTCATAAATGTAGGCATACATATATTGTCATGAAAAAAACCTACCACCTAACACTGCCCTTCTTTTGCAGGCTTCAGACAGGGAAATCGTGTGGGTCATGCGAATCACTGTTTTTCTGTTTGGAGCATCAGCAACAGCAATGGCACTGCTAGCTTCATCAGTGTATGGCCTGTGGTACCTCAGCTCTGACCTTGTTTATATCATCATATTCCCCCAGCTTCTGTGTGTGTTGTTTATTAAAGGAACCAACACCTATGGTGCCATTGCAGGATACTTATTTGGCCTTGTTCTCAGAATAACCGGAGGAGAACCATACCTCTACCTTCAGCCCTTGATCTACTATCCTGGCTGTTACCCAGATGAAAATAATATCTATATCCAGCGATTCCCATTTAAAACACTTTCTATGCTTACCTCCTTCTTTACTAACATTATAGTCTCCTACTTAGCCAAATACTTATTTGAGAGTGGGACTTTGCCACCAAAGCTGGACTTTCTTGATGCTGTTGTTGCCAGGTACAGTAGAGAACACATGGACAAAGCAACTCTTGTAAAAAGTGACAATATTGTATTAAATGAACTTGCACCTGTGAATCCACGACACAGTCTAACTTTGAGCTCAACTTTCACAAACAAGGAAGCCTTCAATTATGTTGATTCAAGTCCAGAGCTATCCAACACTGAAGATAATTAAAAAAATCTGGTAGCCACAGACTAAACTTCATCAAGCAGGATATTCTACAAAGAATAGTAAGAGGCATTTTATCAGAAGAAAACAAAGAATTGGGAATAAAATGCCACTGCACAATTCTCTAAGTTGTTTCTCGGAGCAGGAGCATCCCATGGGAAGAACTCTTTTCTGCAATTATCTAACATGTTGGAATAGATCATAGAGTGTTTACCAAAAGAAACACTCAGATCTCATTCTTTCCACCCAGAACTATATACTATGTAATTTAAAAAAATATTTACAATTGAAAATATATGTAGCAGAAAAAGTGCAACAGTTATTTAGCTAGGACATTGTATGAGGAGATTATAATACAGTCACTCTGAAATATATTGCCAATATATTGAATATATTGTGAAAATATATTGCCACAGCTATAAGTGATTTATTACTAAAGAACTAGTTGCTTCAGCAAAGACAGATAGATAACTTTTTAGTCTGGTCATTTTTTCCTCATGAAGAAATTCAAAGAATATAAATCTAGTGTTTTATTATTTGTATAAGACACCAAAATGCACAAATAGTAATAAATTCCTTATAGGAGTGCAAAACATCATATATTAATTTGAAAAGTTAAAATGAAGTCACCAGTTCAAAATGTTGTTATACCTAATGCAAGATGACCTTAAGCAAAGTATTTTACTACAGGTGTCCTTTTTTCCCTGTGGTTAGCAGCTGTCACCAATGCAGGATAACAAAATTTTTAGGCAATAAGAGTTGAAACTCAATTTGTGAAAAATGACAGAATGCTTATAAATTCAATAGAACTTTTCAATGCTGAGAAAAGAAGCCTTATCTTGACTTATCATCAAAATGAACACTGAGCAAACCAGTCTGGCACCAAGCAACTGCAGCAATAGTACATATATCAAAAAGCAAAGATGTCAAGAAGGCTTGAAAAAACAGATGAGAGGGTCTTCCATGGGGAAAATTGCCATTTTTCACTTAATAAAAAAAGTATTCTCAAAGGCATGAATAAGTCTCTTGGGTTGAACTTGCTGGGACTATGTTGGAAAGTGTTGTTTTTCCATGGAAAATCACATTTTCTCAAAAATTTGATTTCTTGTGGGAAAAAACAGGTTTGCTGGACAGCTTTCCACACCTGTAAGTGTCTACCTCCAAAAGCAGCAGCAGCTTGGGGGGGAACTGAAAGGAAAGCTGAACCCAGAAGTGCAGTGAAAGGCACAGCAGTGTCTTCCGCTAAATGCTGGACATTAACAGCCATCCTCCTGGGTCATCACAGTGACTGCGGAGTGCCAGCACTGACCAGGCACAGACAAGGCTTCACTCATGCATGGCAATGCTGGCTAGAAGCAGCAAAGCAGAGACAGGAGGCCTCTTCTGATTTTACAATGGCCAGCAGGGAACATGCAATGTCGTTTCCATTTGCCCACAGTCAAGATGATTGTCTGTCCCCATTGGTACGTGCCTTTCACCGTGGGAGATCTAATAGCTAGATTTGTGTACAACTAAGAGTTATGCTCAGTAATTCTTTTTAATATCTACGCATGACACAAGAAGTTCAACTGAAACCCAGATAGCCTCCTGTTGCTGGTCACTGGTGAAATTTCTTCTTTAACATTCATAGCATGAGGAGCTCTCCTGGAGGATAGGAGATGTAACAATAGGTTTTGCTGCTAAAGGAAGAAGCCATCAACTTGTGCATTCAGTGTTGACATAAACTTTCACAAGGTTGAATCCTTAGATATGTTTTTGCTCCTTTTGTGGAGTTTTAACAGCATATATATTTTATACATGGATAAAAATAATATAAGAGATGTTGATTTTTTTCTCCATACAGTGCATTTAAAAATAACACTGCATCTCAGTTCTGAATATGCATTGTGAACTGCAGTGCTACTGTGCTAACAAATATTGAGTGTGCTCTGGGTGGAGGGAACCAAAATCAGGATCTAGACTAAAAACCCAGAAGCCACTGAACCCACTGATTGAGCCACCGATGAAATTCAGGGTGCTGAGGAGTTCACAAACTGGACACAAGCCCAGCGGTGTTCATTTCCCCATGAACCATGGAAAAGAGAAGAGGAAAGAGATTGTATGGGAGAAAGAGAGGGAAGAACAGAGCCACTGCTGAATTATTATCCATTTCTGGCCCAAATGCACCAGCCTGAATCCCCTCCTATTAGAAAATATCAAGCCACAGTTTTGCCCGCTTGCATACCCAATGCCTTACACTGCAGTACCAAATTAAGTTAGGGGATCCTATTTTACAGCAACCTGTAGATCTTCCTGAAAAATTTCTCTTCAGTTTTGTCTAGGAATTGCTAGAATTTTACTATGAAAAGCTGCATATTGGCCAGGTGCTTTGAATACAGAGACATTTCTGTACTATTTGTTTCAAAATTCCCAATAGTGGGAGAAGAAGGAAAGGAGAAGGTGATTCATCTGGAATTGCTTAAGAAATTTTGATTTAAAACTAAAAATCTTTCATTTTCTGTTGTAGTCTTTTGTTGCCATAAAAACATAAAAGCTTTTAAATGCTTAAAATGATAACTTTAAATAAAAAATTAAAATGCATTAGTCAAAAAGATTCAAGCCAGATGCTTTCATCATTATCAGCATATTTATACTGTTTATCTTATTAAAGATTTTTGTGAAATCACTATGATTTCACAATGTATTCCTGTTTAGATGGAATTCTCAACATTCTCTGTTGGAAAATGGTTCCGACAAAATTTTCCAGTCCTCTCTGTGGAGACCGAAAGGTTATTGCACTTTTACAAGTAGCGCACCATGAAAGCTTTATCTTGCAAAGGAGACAAGTGACACTGAAGGCTGCTCACTGTGTGACCATAACTCTGCTTTCCACGCGCTAAGTCTCTGTGCGTGTCTTTGCATGACTCCATCACCAGCTTCAGTGGTTGTGGTGGTGGGCTGTGTAGTAGACAGGAAGACTCCAAAAGCCAAACTAAACGGCCCCATGCAAAGTCTGTTTACAAGTTTTATTGCCTTAGTTCAGCTACCCTACCATTAAATTTATACAAAGCTATTCATATAAATGAAGACCATCTCTATGATTGAAAACTGGGAGGAAAAATAAAAAGGGAAAAAAACCCGACAGTAAGATACAACCAAATTACTTCCACGAGCAAAATGCCAACAGGACATGATTCTTCAAGTAGACTTTATTTTAATGGGAATCATCAGATGCTCCTTCTCTACTTTAGCAATTTGTAGACAGTAGTACTGTGCACTAAATTGGATCTATAATCAGTGAAGCAAACAGCTCATTTTCAGACACTGAGGTTATTGTTTCTGAGCCTACAATTTCTAGATAAAATATTCATATCACAATCACACATTTTACTTCCATATTCTTAACATTTGTGAATAACATGTATTTGACAGGGTTTTTTTACCTCCTTTGCATGAGATGTGTTCATAAAATCAAGTTTAATAACATAGCTGAGATGTTAAAAAAGTTACAATTTCATCTACATTTGTCCATATGGGATGGTATATGTATTATAACTAAAACATACTTTTGTGAACCTGAACTGAATGTAAACATTAAGTGGATCAAATAAAGTAAAATCTTTAGTCTTTTATTTTCATATAGTACAACAATTTAGGATTTCAAATATAAGTATCATAGGAAAAGAGTTGTTACTAATTTTTCCTTCTGCCCTTCAAGCGTATTTGATCAAGTACCATGTGCAGTTAGACAGTAAATTATTGTAAGTCCGCTATTAATCAGGGCAGTATTTGTGGCTGTTGTTAAAAAAAAATATATATTTTTGTCTGTGTCAGAAATGTTATATTAAGACTATGCCTAACAAAGCAGATAGGAAGAATAATATTGATATATATGTTTTAACTTCATTTGTATTGTATTCAATAGTGCCCATGCAATTCAGGAAAATACTGTCTGGTTTGGGGTCTGTTTTGTCCATCTATTAAAAATAAAGATGTTTATTTTATTATCACTCAGCATCACCTGAGTTTTTTTCATGGGCACAACCCCACAGAGGTGAGGCATTCCCAGCAGAGCAGGAGCTGGTTCACCTTCCCAGGGGACTAGTAGGGCCACTCCGTGGCTACAGCCCTGCCCTAAAACCTGGCTCCCATGTTGGAAACAGAGCTCTCATTTCAGTCATCTCTTCCTTGTCCTCACAGCCATGAAGAAGAGCAGAGGCTCCGGAGCTCCAGGGAAATCTACATCCAGTGGGATCCCCTTCTGCAGATTTCTTGCTTTTTCTCTTGCACGTGTTGTCCTGGGAGGATGTGACCTGAACAGGGTCTGTGGTTTGGGCTGCAGAGTTGGCAGGGAGCAGGAAACGTGCCGTGGGAGCAGGAACACGTGTGCCCAGAGATTGCATTGGGTTCCACTTTTCATGTGTGCTGACTGGATTTTTAATATGGAAGAGCCCTTTGTAGTGGGACATAAAGTCATTCCAGGCATTACATGTGTTATAACTACAATTATTTAGAAATCAAAATTTTAGCTGACCGAAAAATAAATCTGTGCTTTTATCCTCCTAGTAAGAATCTTATCTAATGTCCATTGAAGTCAAAGGAAAGACACAAGCAAGTGGCTATCCAGATGCTACTGGATGACATGTGCCAAATATACACTGTATTTATCCTCTAGATACTTTGCAAAAATACATGGGCAGTACAGTCCAGAAATGGATGGGGAAAATAGGGCACACTGGATTGTTTTCCAGGGAACCGAGATGCTCACTCGTGGAACGAAGAACAGGCTGGGATTTCCAAATGATGTCAAACAGTAGACATTTCCTTGAGGCCTCTGATCTCTCTTGCAACTTGGGAGTTTGATCCCCACACCCACCTTTGAAAAACTGAAGCATGATTTAAGACAAAAGCCCTGATATCTTGTAACTTCTATCTCAGAATGAAAGCAAGTCCATAATCCTGCAGGTTCAAGAACGCAAGAAAAAGCATAAAGTAAGGTTGTGCTGATGATTGCTGAGGAAGTGCTA